TAAAACGCGTACCCTATTGCTCTCTCGTCGGAAGTCTCTTTCATGGAGAATACCTGACCTCTCTGCCTACAAACCCGGCGTCCGTACAGTGGCGACAATTATTGGATTGTAGATTTTTATTTCACAGTAGGTACACAGGTAAATTGTGATTTCTTTAAGAAATATTGAATTATCGCACAGTTTATATACTTATGCTTTTGTTAAATTTTATTATTCAAAATTTAAAATTAAATAATGAATAACTAGATTAAATAAAGAGTTTTATATTACCTACCTAAGTAAATAATAAACGGAGAACATCAATGTTATTTCTAATAATTGTAGTAATGCGTCTAAAATATGAAGTGATCTGCAATAAATTATATAATTATTTACTATTTCTAAAACAATATTAAAAAATGTCAAGTTTCATTGAATTAATTTATCAAAAAATAGTACCTACTATTTATATGCATAGGTAATTTTAAAATCTAAAATAAATCCACTTTTTAATAAAAAAACATGTTACCAACAAATATTTTATAAAAAAAAAATTAAATTAAATTATTTACAGGGACTTTTATTCTTAGACGTAAACATAAACTGAAAAGAAACTGGAGATATATACCAAATATTAGTTTATAAAGAAAGTACAACTAAAAATTAAACAAAAACAACAGCTATAATATTTAATTAATTTATAATGAAAAAACCTGCAGAAAATTAAATTTACAGACAGTGTGTTTCAGTCGTACACGTAAACCTATCAAAACGAAAAGAAACTTCATGTTTTGAACTGAAAATTAAACAATAACAATTTGTAAAATTCTTTTATAATCAAAAATAAAACAAAAATGTGTTTCATTTCTAAATTCCCAAATTAATCAGAATAAAAATTGGAGAAAAGGATATTAAAAATTTAGAACAAAACATCGTTAGGTACTGGATTTCTTTAAAAACTTTAAAAAGTAGATATGTATACAGTGTGTCTACTTAATTTGGACTCATATGCAAAACTTTTTTAATTGGTTTCGTGAATAAAATTTATTCTTGATAAAAAGTTTTGCATGGTCCAAAATATGTAATATAATCATCAGATATCATATTTTAACAGATAAGAGAGATACATTCAGTATTGAAATTTATAACCACAATTAATTTATAATGTAAAACGTAAATAAACACCAAACCTGAATTTTCATACTAACTGGCTGTAATTGCATATTTGAATATAACTTTTAATTCAAAATAACTTTACCTTATAACATTCTTCCGTATTGTGAAAAATAAAGGACTTTACTCTGGAGTAAAATTTATATTCTTTGTCGAACTCCTATGCGTCTTAAAAAAATTGATATCTGATGATTGTATTATAGGTTTTGGACCATGCAGAACTTTTTATCAGCAATAATTTTTTTCACAAAACCAATAATAAAAGAGTTTTCCAACTGAAGTAGATTGTATATATGAATTGATTTTTTTTTTATTTTGATTATGACAAAATGATTACTTTTCGATGTGGTTTTGGGAACTCAGACCGAAGCAATAATTGTTTTTATCTTGTTTGGCCATTTCCCATTTTAAATGTCGAAACATATATATTAAATGTTAAAAAATGATACTTGTGTTATTAGGATTTATAAGAAAAAATATTTCTCTTTTCATTTATTTAAAATGTATACAATAATTTCTTATATTTAACCCATTCTGCTTTTCTGAGGTTACTTTTGAAGATAAGTTGAACATTTTTAAGCTGTTTTTCGAAAAACTGTCAAAGAAAAGGTAATACAAACGAATTTATTACATACAGTAAGGATGAAAATTGTACCCTACTCTATTTTAACTTCTTAATAAAAAAGGATAATGACAAAATATATAATATTTTTGTTATAACGAGATGCACTTTACTTGAGATAAGTAAGATAGAGGAGTTAACTAGCTTTAAATTTTTAATGGAAAGTAGGGTCATGTGATATCTCATTTGAAAGATATTTTATATATTTTTACGTTATATAAACTGATTTAGGTTTCTATGATTTTACAGAAATTATATTAAATAAATTCATAAAGTAGGTTAAATTCTTTTTTTTTTGTTTATCGCTTCAACCTCAAAGGATCATTACCGGAGGTATAATACCTTATAAATGCTGTTTTTTACAATAGTATACAATGGAAAATTAACATTTTGGCTAGTATACAGTAAATGTCAGTATCTTTTATAAATTTAAGTAATTTTTTACTGTTAGAGGGATTTAACACTGCACAAATGTCAATTTTTTGTAGCTGGTACTTTGTTCTTATACAGACATGTGCCTTTACTAATAAGTTACATTCTTGATAACTCTCGTATTAACAATTATTGTTTATTACTAAGAAAACGCTTCTCGTATTTACTAAAACAAATAAATCAAGAATATCAGAGGTGATTTAAAAACCACTTGTCGTATTAAATTTTTCATAATTTCTTGGCAAAAAAAGCTTATTAAAAAATTATCTTCTAACATTATCTAACATTTCTAGGATTATTGCGGCACACGAAGATTATAAAGAATGAAATTTTTTGTAAAAAAAAAAAAATAAAACTGTTTGCTTGGACGTAAATATAATCAAAATATCTTTCAAATGAGGTATTACATGATTTAGCTTTCCATTAGAAAATTTAGAGATAGTAACACCTTCTATGCTCCATCTCAAGTAAAGTGCATCTCATTATAACAAAAATATATAAAATATATTATATTCGTTTACTCAATGATACTGTTGATATTCTATTATGTACTTGTGTACAATTATTCTTTGTTCGTTTCTACTAATCTACTATAAATTTATCCTCAAACACTAATTACTTGTTGATTACACAATAAGGAAACATAAATTTTATCCTTTAATGCCTTTAATGTTTTTTGAATTACAGTTAACTGCCTTCTACAACTATTACAGCTTAAAAATAATGAAAAAACGTATTCATTGCTGAATAATTTACATGTATATGACTTAATTTTCTAACGCAAAAACACTTTTTAATGATCCTTGTAAGGACACTTATAAAGGATTAAACATACTGCACTGTTAGCATAGATAAATAATGAAAAACAGGAAATGATGGAAGGGTACAGATAGTGGATGATATTTTCCTGATTATGGTAGATTACATATGAGATATGACAGGTGACGTACGTCAAATTCATAATTTGGTATGATTTATCGCATATTTTTTATTATAATAAAAGATTTTTCCTTAGCTGGTTTCGTACAGACACTACTGTACTAAACTCAAATCGTTTAATTATTTAAAATATATAAACAATTTCTAAAATTTAAATAAATCTTTATAAATAAATAAATAAATGAATAATTAAATAAATAAATATTTTACCACAAATTGCAGATATAATTAATGTAATAATACATTACAGTAATAATAAAAAAAAATAAGTATTAACAATTTTGACAGATATTTTTTAAATAAATATTATTTTATTATTTCATATTAAAAATATTTAAATATAGTTAAATTAAGGATTTACTTTCATGTAAAACGATTGTATTTAGTGCAGTTTTTATACTTCCTCATGCTTGGCAATATTTTATGGGTAAAAATGCCAACACGATCATCGTAATACAAAAGAAATTAACACAGGAATAATTATTATTCCCATTAAAAACGAATTAACTAAAAGGACAATTAATGAAAACGATAATTAGAAATTAAAGTAGCCCGCATAAATTGGTCTTACTGCAGTTTGCACATTATATTCTTTCAGACACTACAAATGAATGTTGTTTTTTTATATTCAGATTAGCGCTTTTTTTAAATTAAGTATAGTAATAAACTACAGACTTTACCAAAGGGATATTAGGTTTAAAATCCTTGGCTGTATCGACTTAGTTTTGTTTTAAATAGTAAAAATATGATTGATTCTGGCAATACCGCGCCAAAGTTGCTAATTATTGTTTACTAATTTCTTTAAATATTTGATAAAAAACTTATGTCATGACTTATCGAGTAGGTGGCGTAGCGGTCTCATGCGCTTATATTCATTTATAGGCAAGTTTGTGGTCAGAGACAGAGGGGTTTCGAATCCTACACCAGACCATGTGGATTTTTAATTAAATTGAATGATTCGTTATAGGATTTGATGTGTGCCGTATTAATAGAAATTACTGTTGATATGACATGCAGATTATAAAAGCGCCCTGCGTTACCGTCTCGATGATGTTGGGTGAGGTTTTCCGGGCTTTTCTCACCTGAAAGTCAAATGCAACGGCAAATAATAATAATAATAATTATAATAATATCCGTCCCTTCCCCTACACAAGTCGTTTAGTCAACTTCAGGGGTTAAAATTTACTCGTAAGGGGGTGAATTATGGAGAGTATTATTAAATGTATTGAAATTGTCATTAAGCATCTATGGTTAATACATGCAGCAAATGAATGTATTCCAAGTACTACAAAGTAAATAAAAAATCAGTTACTATCTTGCTTAAACCTCCATAGCCCGATTTTCTGGTCTTACATTTTGTGGAAGCAATTATTTAGTAGTCGTAGAAAAAATATTGTAGAAAAGTGATTTTTTTCGTATTCGTAATATAATATACTATTGCAGCAGCTCGTTTAAAGTACCTGTATAAATAAATTCAACTTTAAGATTATGTTATCTGTAGAAGAAACGACATTTATTGACACAATAAAATAAAATATATTTTTGGACTTCTCACTTTTAAAATTGTTCTTTTTTTGTGTAGATTTGTAACTCGCTCGAACTGACGCCATAATGAATGTGAAATTAACCGAGTCGATACGCCAGAGCATCATCTTCTCTCTCACAATTATTTTTAAGGGCTCCTCGGGATAAGGGCCAGCTGCTATGCGTTAATTTTTTTTCTGTTTCGTCTTGGCTGTTGCGTCAGAATCTCAATGATCTTAATTTCCTAAACGGGGGAAGAAGGAGATTATCTGTTAACGAATTATTATGCTCTGCGCTCGTTATAATCCCATAAGAGTATTAGAGACAAAAAATGATAAATAGTAACAATGAATGCGACGAGTAAGTCAATGCCGTAGGCGATATTTTTATTTTTGAGATGGAAAGTATGTGTCAAATCCTCTTTTTCAGCTATTACATGTAATGGAGGAAGATCTAGCAGTAGATTCATCATTGCAGTAGCGTTGTTATTACTAAACAGGCTAGGTATACCTTGGTATAAAACCAGAGCATCTACTTGTTTTAGGCTCTAATGAGATCTGACTTATCCGTTTACAGCTTTTTCTGCTGATTTTTTTTTTATATAGCTGCATATAGCTGAGCAACCGTGAAATCATTAGTTATTGACTAAGCCTGCAGTATAATTTTTCCTTCTGTATTCAGTGTAAGCAAACTGTTTATATATAGTGAATAGTATAGGCCCCAGTACAGTACCGTGGGGTACATCATAAGTAATAGTTCTAGTCTCGCTGATGTTCCCGTCAATCTCTACGTACTATTGCTCCAGTAGCTTCTAACAAAATTATATGCGACGCCTCTTATACCATAACATTTTAGTTTTTCTAATAATTTCTCATGATCTACTGTGTCAAAGGCTTTAGTGATGTCTACAAAAATACATAAGGAAGAGTTTTTTTTATCTAATGCGTTATAAACATCCTTCATAAGTGAGCAAATTGCATCCTCAGTAGATTTTCCCTCTCTCAAGCCATATTGATTATTAGATATGTTATGTTTTTACAAAAAACTAATAAGCCTTTCTTTAAATATTTTTTCAAAAATATTACTTATTGTTGAAGTTGGCCGATAACTACCGGTTTTTGTTTTTATCCTCTTTTAAATATAAGCTTAATTAATCCTGTTTTTAGTGGAAATAATACCAGAATTATTGTTAAGGGTACTGAGATTTCTTTTGAGATTTCCTCTAATGCTTTCCATTTCTGGCAATTTCTTATTTTTTAAAGACCTTACAATTTTTTCAACTTCTGTATTTGTTGGGAATAAATACGTTGTTCTATATTTTCGACATAATTTGTGAGGACAATAATTTTCTCGGCATAATCTTTACCCAGATCACTAAAAAAGTAATTAAATTCATTGGCTATTTCTGTTTTGTTATGTATTCAACAAATAATAACCCCAAAAGCTCACATCACTAGAAAATTTTACCTTTTTTTAGATTTAGTACAAAATTACGAATTTCTGTCAAAGGTACACTTTAAATAAAATAGATTTATTTTACTATCTCTAAAAGCTATTTAAACGTACATTTGAAAAATCCAAAGTCTATCATCACACTGAAATTACAGGAATGTTTTCTATTAATAAAAAAAAACATTAGATTGATTTATGGTCATTGGACAGGCACTGATATTAAAGACTGACCTGCTTTTATTTTGTCCTGTAGTAATTTGACAGCTAACAATTTATCATCCAAAACATACGTTATTTATTTTATTATGGACGACTCACAATGGGGAAAATCTATATTTGTTAAGTATCTTGGATATGTGAATTAAACTGAGCAATCGCATATTGATTTATGACTAAAAATGAGTAATTTTTAGTTATAATTTACAATAAAAAAGGTACTTTTTATCATACCTACGCCACTGATTTAGATTGTAATGCTGTCGTCGAGATTTAAGTTGTAAATCAAATCGGCTGTCGATGCAATTAAAGCAATCGCAGCTAGCGATGCATTTTCTGTGATAAATTTCAATTTTAAAGTCGATTTTCCCACTTGCTCCATGAGTACCGATATAATTTCCAACTAAAATGTCAAAAGCCTTCTAGTAGGATTAATTGGGATGAAGATAGGAACATAAATAAAATAGATTCTTAGGCAGGTTTATTTTATTATTATCACTATGAGAATAAATGAATAAAAAAACATTGGAAAATGAGGTTGTAAAAGTGCTGTAAAATATAATAGTACTACATGTAAATTTAACTTACTATATAAGGCATTTTATAGATTGATAATTGCATGTTGCGAATGGTTTAACATAAACTTAAGTACCTATGTCATCAAAATGTTTTTTCACGTTATATAAATCAGTAATTAGATCAGTTATAATTTATACAGCTGAATCAAGATATCTTTATTAGAAATATAAGGGAAGGTTTAGAATATTAAAAAAAAATATTGGATCAAAAAAGATGTAAGAAGGTGAATATTTCATTTATTTTATTACCAAGAACCGAAATAATTGCAGTTTGCATTTTTTGTATTACTTTCCATAAATTAAGAAATGTTGCATTTTTCAAATTGCAACCCTACATGGCCAATAAATCTGGAGAAGGGAACCTTCGAGAAGACGATGGAAATGAAAACGTTATCCAAGATTCTGAAGAATATGTAACATTTGCAGAGGTAGACGGTGAAAATGTAGAAGAAATGAATATACAGCAGCAAGAGGAAACAGAGGATGAAGCCCAATCACAAAAACTTCCACAAACGTTGCATCCGAGGGCAGCTGAAACCCCGACATCAAATACAACCCTAAAATCAGCTAAAACATTTAAGAAAGATAATGTCACTGCCCTGCTGTAACAAAGCATGGAAAAATGTGAAGAGAGAGCTAAAGCAAGAACGGAAGATAGAAAGAAAATATTACAAGAATCAAAACCTACAGAAAATGATCCTCTATTTCACTTCTTTATGTCAATGTACCAGTCTACCAAAAGAATGCCACCTTCATATCAGCACATGGTTAAAAACCGTGGGTTTAACGTTCCTATCCAGCAGCAGCCGTACCCTCCTCCTGCAACTATTGCAACATACAGCAGCAGCAGCAATTATTGAACCCCAGCCTATTCGTATTCGGACAATTCACTTTTGAGCTCCGCTGATACCCTTGAGGAACAAGAAAACTCCTCTATAGCTGCCAATTCAGATAATCTGAATAAATATATTAATACTTTCACACACTAATTAACAAAATACTTACCTTAGAAATACAGCTAGTTTCACTTCAGTTTTAATGGGCTATGCATCCTTCTGCGTCAATTTCTTTATTGATGATCTCATGCACTTCTTTAAATTGATCACGGTTTAGCCGAAAATAAGTGGTGAACTTTTCATCACTAAATTATTTAGTTAAGGCAAATTCTCCAGGAGTTTTTCTTTTTTTCATTGACTTTTTATTAGCCATTTGGGAGATGAAGGATATCATTTTGAACTCGAACTCCTCTTCTGAATCAGATTCAGAACTACATTAAGAAACAATCTGTGCAGTTGCAGTTGTCATTTTTCAGTACTGTCCAAGCTTCACTAGTTAAAACTACAATCGTATTTTTTGTATGGTCTCGTCGTGACTTAACACTACACTCACCGCCTACTTCGTCTTATTTTGCGCCGATCCCGCGCTAGCAGTTTTGTCCTGCCATAAACTGGCTGTGACTCACGCTGCGTCACCTCACCAAGATGCGTCTCATTTTGCGACTGGCCTTATTGTCGGACGCTGCCACTTATATGATTAAAGTGGCACATAATTTAAAAAAAATTATGAGCAACTTATCCATGTAACGTGAGTGGCTCACGGTATTAATAGAGTAACACCCCAGGTTTATGAAAATGAGTCACCCCAATACCATGATTAATTTCAGCAGTTATTGTACGCGAAAAGCTCCGGGATCGGACAATATTAGTAACATATTGCTTAAAAACCTTAGCAGAAAAGCTATCGTGCAGCTCTACCACATAATAAATGCCATTTTCAAACTACAGCACTATCCCAATGGACTGAAAGTGGCAAATATAATCCCTATCCTTAAACAGGGAAAACCGGGAAACAGTATTGATAGCTATCGCCTCATATCACTACTTAACACACTTTCAAAAATAACGGACACAATAATTTTACGACGCTTAAAAACACTATGAGAATGAGAATAAACCCAAACAAAACCGAATCAATGGTAATAACAAAGAGGCGGACACAAGCTATTGACACGCCCCTCGGCCAATTGAAGTTAAACAAGAACTAAAATAACTCGGTTTGCGACTGGATAAGTCACTACTGTTTAATGCCCACATAAAAGACAGAGTTGCCAAAAATTCCGGTATTCTGAAATCATTGTACCCCTTAATGAATAGACGGAGTCGGCTAACATTGTCGAACAAAATGCTACTATTTAAAACAATATTTAGGCCTATACTAACATATGGTTGTCCAGTATTCTGTTCAATGTCAAAATCGAATTTTTCAACATTACAAAGGGCACAAAACAGATGTCTGAGGCTAGCTTTTGGCTACGACAGTTATGCTAGAATACGAGACATACATACCACGACAAATATGCCATATATGAAAGACTTCATCATTCAGACGGCCGAAAACTTCTACGCGCGATGCCTACCTGATGAATTGAGGGATAGCACCATGATTATTCACCAGGGAGACGGCGTGCGTAGAAAACACGGCTGCCTACACAAAAACCTGAGAATATACCGACTACAACAACATGAATCATGACAAATCTTACAATACTAAACAATAATTCACACGGATTGGATATTTACGAATTCTAGTCCGACGGAGGACTAAGCTATCGACTGACCGGCATTGCCACGGCCGAGAGAGGGGCACAAGGAGAACCCTGTTTTTTGAAATTAGTTTTTCAGGGAAGACAATCACAAGTAAATTCAAACAAAACTATAGACAGACACCACTACTGATCCCGCAAGCTCATCCAAATTGCTATATTATGCTTTAAATAGTAAGGAGATAGTATAGAACATGCATAATTCCAATTAATAAGAATAATATTAAGGCTATGACAACGGCTATGGCCCCACTAGTTGAGGGCTATCGGTATGAGACATCTTGGACAAGGAAGTCATGCGAAAATATATTGTTATGGGGGATGTTTTTTGTGAAATATATAGCACTACGTTGTGACGTTATAATTGTAATGAGCTTTAAATAATTTAAATCACGAATCATCATCCCCCATACAAATACTTAATGCTCCGGCTAAAATGTTATCTAATTCAATAAATGAAACGATATGACTCAATTCTTTTAACTAATAAGTTTAAAAATTTTCATCCATGTATTTAAGACACTTACCTCTGTACCTCGTATATTGTCAGCTCTTGTATTGAAATAAAAATAAGTAAAAGTTTGAGACTCTGTGTATAACTTGTAGTTTTATTTAAAATAATTGATATCAGGGTTTAGTGCGAGTTCAAAAATTCTTTGAAACTAATGTGGGAAAAAAAAGAAACAGAATATTGTTACATAAATTTAAAAATTAACATAGAAACAAAAATAATAAAATAATTCGTCATTTAACGATCGATTCTTGGATCGAAAATGGCGCATTATACTATAAAAATACAGTTACCTATCGAACTTAATATTCTACCCACCGTACGGCGCTTTTAAATACGTAAGTAGATCTCTTTTGGCGGCTATATGGAAATTTCTCTAGTCGGACAAAAGATGGCTTATATGGAATTCTAACCTAATCAAATCAGAATTTCTAAACAACATTGTGATGTTATTTTGTACAAAAAATAGAAAGATTTATTGTCTTTACGATTACTTAAGTACTCAATTTGGTAAGTACTTTCTTTTAATTGGTCACTAATGATAGTTTTTAATTAAAATACCTGTCTAGCACTGTGAAATATAGGATGTCCAAATGTTAAACTTATTTCTTTTCAGCGTCCATAACAGAAGGATGTTACAAGTACCTGGGGAAAATGGAGGCCTTACGTCTTGTATGCCAATGCATACAGCAGTGATCGAGGACTTCCTGGGGACTCTTCTTCGGGCAGTTTTACATAATATTGCGTGGGTAAGTTAAATTTAATATTACCTTTGACATTTATACACTAGTTAATCGTTTATACATAAACATTGAAGATTTAATATTTATTTTTAGGAAAAAGGAGTTTGGAGAGGAAATTAGAAGGAAATTTTTGTGTCCTTCCTCTTTCGTTACCTTTCTAGCACTCTCTTTTGTTTCATCAACAAAATTCTGATTTGGATTTTTGAATCAAGTTGGATGAAAAAGTAATTAGCCAATCAAAATTTTGACAGTTTAGTTACATCTTTAAAATTAGATTATTGGATTTTTAAAGGTGAGTTTATTTAAACGGCTTATTTCATAATTTCGATGATAATTTATCGTTCATTAATTAATAGGTTATTTTGAAATCCGTGTTGTAATTTTTTTACAAATTTACATTTTAAAAATTATAATTTTCGTGTGGTAACATTGTCTCACTACATTTAGTTACTTTTGATCTTGTCAAATTTATCACTATACAGGGTGTAGTCTAAATACTTGAATGAAACTTTTTTAAATTTATTTCTTTGAAGACTTTTTATCATTAACTTGATATTCTTGGGATTCCGTGTTTCATTATAATATATATTATTACTTATTAAAATTGTAAATATATTGTAAATATTATAAAGATTTTTAAAGAAAAAGGCCGAGAGAGGGATTTTCGATAAGGACAACCCTGTTTTTTCACGCGCTTTTCCAGGGAAAAATTCACATAACTAACGACATACACAGCTTTTAATTAAGAGAAATTACCGTTTTTAAACAAAATCAAACAAAACCGATATATAATATCATATAATGATAAGGAGATACCGATTAAAAGTCAAATATAAACAAAGTACATCTGATCGTTTGGGACAGGACGTCGTGCATGGCTTCAGGTGGCAACACAAGGATCCATTGGACGAAAACTTGACTAATGAACAATTAAATGACGATGTAGATAAATATTTTTTAAAAATGAATAAAGATCTTTTGAATTTGAGGGATTTTCGTTACTAGACGGCGGCGTTTCCGGGTGGTTTATAGCCCACCCTCTCTGTGAATTAAGACAAAAAACCGTAGACTTGGACAAGAACACACACCACGAATGACAACCCTGTTTTTTCCTAGCTTTTTCAGGGGACAATACGAAACTAACACACGACAAACTTCCTATAACCTACAATTCCTGATCCAAAACCACCATAATCCCTCAATAATGCCCCATAGGGTAAGGAGTGAGGGCGGCTATATTTAGCATAATCAAAATAGTAAAATATGGAACATATTACAGGCGGAGAAACCGCCTTAAGCCTCAATGGATCTCATTCGGGCCACAACTGTACTGTGTACAGTTTGTGTTTTGTGACGTTTTATGTTTACATATTGTACATACAATTTTTAAAATGTGAATAAAGATTTTAAATGAAAAAAAAAAAAACTTTATACAAACGGACCAAAATAAGACGTCTAGAGGACGTTCTCCGGTAACCGCAAGTCCAATGGACGTCCGTTTTAAATCCCGGACCAGACCAAGTGCAATCTGGGTATACTAATAAAGATGATATACCATACCTGTATTATTTAAGCCTGTAAATATATTGTTTTTCTTTTTTTTTGTATTTGAATAAGGAAATTATTTTTCACCTAACAGTTTTTTTTTTGTTAAAGAAATTATCTCAAAAATCTGCTGAAGACAGCATCTTAGTTAGGTAGGTAAGTACCTAATTAGGTAAGCAAAAACGCGCGTAGCTCGAGGCGCAAATT